GTCATACATAAGGGGTTGGAAAGTTTCATCAGCCGAAGCACCATGGAGCGTTCTCTAGTCCCTTCTTGCTCCCCCGCATCCCTCCCCTTAAAAGCACTTTGCCTCTGTTCTTTCCACTTCCTTTAAAGGACCCCCTTGCCTGGGGGATAAATGCAGCTTTTCTGTCTTTCCTTCCTCCCATGTTCCTACCACCTTTTCCAGGGCAGCTCAGTGCATGGAATTAAAGGATCAGTAGGAACGTGCATCTGTGAATATCTCCATGCGTTTCCGGTTGGCCTTGGCACATGAAGCCAGTTATTTGTAATGTTTCCTATTTTGCCAACGGGATCCAATAAAGCCACGAGGAGCGTTTTTAATTTGCATTGCTGCCTCCCTTGGCACCCCTGCACCCTCATTTCTGACACCCTCAGACTGGGAGCAGAGATGTGTCTTTAAATAACTGGAGTAAATGTTTTGTATTTGAAAGGAGGGATTGATGCCACAGACAAAATTCATTATATGGGCAGGTGCTCTATAACCTATTCCCACCCCCTGCAGCTCTGTCAATGTCTCTCCATCCCACATACACCCTTCCTGCTCCTTCAGTCCTGACCTCTGCAGAAACCAGAGCCAGGGTAGGCAAAGTCCGTAAACTATTCACTCACCCCAGCCTTGTCTTGTAACAACCCTGGCTAGTCCAGCCCTTGCCCCAGGCACAGCTCTGGTAACAGCCATCGAGGGACCAGTTGGGTTTTGCTAACTTCATTTAAGCTGTGCTTAGTTTAGATTGTCCCCTGCCACTGGTGCCTATTGTGCTAACCCCCTTTCCCGGCTACAGCTCAGGGCTCTGGTTTACAGGAACTTCACAGCTTGGGGATGATGCAGTTGCTCCTTTAGAGCAAAGCCAGCACAGCCTGAAGGCAGTGAAGTGGGAAACCATTTTAACTGCAGACTTTGAACTACATTTGGTAAATTGTTGCTGAACGGCAGCCCTGTATTGTTAAGAACAAGGCCGTGTTCCATTAATTGAAAGGCAATACAATTAAAATGGTACAAGAAATAGTTTAGTTTCTAAGGCCAAATGTGGTATCCGTTTGTAACATTTTCTTCTTGGAGGGAGGGGAGAAAGCCATTTTGTTATTTTTAATCTTCATTTTCTTGTCTTGACTTACACTTCTGCCCCTTCCATCATCTCTTGGTGGTTGGTTTGTCCATCACAAGCAATATGGTCTGGGGAGGTAAACCAGAGTGGCGGGAGCTTTGGATTCTATTCCTGGCTTTGCCACTGATTCTGTATTCTCAGGCAAATAACTCTGCCTCTCTGTGCATCAGTTTTCCCATCTGCAATTGTGGGAGACTAGCACTGCCAACCCCAAGTGTTCACATACCCAGGGCGGGCTCCAGGCACCAGCTTCTCAAGCAGGTGCTTGGGGCAGCCGCTCCGGAGAGGGGCAGCACGTCGAGGCATTCGGCGGCAATTCGGCGGACGGTCCCTCACTCCGCCTGGGAGTGAAGGACCTCCCACCGAATTGCCGCCGCAGATCGCGATCGCGGCTTTTTTGTTTGTTTGTTTTGGCTA